TGGGGAGAACAAGTATTTGATAGACTGTTGATTTTTCAGGTTTTCCCACTTGCAAAGCTTGTAGATGACTGTAATTTTTATCATAGGTACTCTTCAACTGTGAGTGATGGAATCTAAAACAAAAATCCAGAAAAATACAATGTATGATTTTTAAATAATTAATTCCCATTTTATTGTGTGAAATAAGTATTTGATACACCAGAAAAATGAAACTTAATATTTGGTACAGAAACCTTTGTTTGCAATTACAGAGATCAGACGTTTCCTGTAGTTCTTGACCAGGTTTGCACACACTGCAGCAGGGATTTTGGCCCACTCCTCCATACAGATCTCCTCCAGAGCCTTCAGGTTTCGGGGCTGTCGCTGGGCCACACGGACTTTAAGCTCCCTCCAAAGATTTTCTATGGGATTCAGGTCTGGAGACTGGCTAGGCCACTCCAGGACCTAAAGATGTTTCCTACGGAGCCACTCTTTAGTTGCCCTGGCTGTGTGTTTTGGGTCGTTATCATGCTGGAAGACCCAGCCACGACCCATCTTCAGTGCTCTTACTGAGGGAAGGAGGCTGTTGGCCAAAATCTCACGATACATGGCCCCATCCATCCTTCCCACAATATGGTGCAGTCGTCCTGTCCCCTTTGCAGAAAAGCATCCCCAAAGAATGATGTTTCCACCGCCATGCTTCACGGTTGGGATGGTGTTCTTGGGGTTGTACTCATCATTCTTCTTCCTCCAAACATGACGAGTGGAGTTTAAACCAAAAAGTTCTATTTTTGTCTCATCAGACCACACAACCTTCTCCCATTCCTCCTCTGGATCATTCAGATGGTCATTTGCAAACTTCAGACGGGCTTTGACATGCGTTGGCTTGAGGAAGGGCACCTTGCGTGCACTGCAGGATTTTAATCCTTGACGGTGTAGAGTGTTACTGATTGTTTTCTTTGAGACTGTGGTCCCAGCTCTATTCAGGTCATTGACCAGGTCCTGCCGTGTAGTTCTGGGCTCATTCCTCACCTTCCTCAAGATCAATGATGCTCCACGAGGTGAGATCTTGCATGGCGCCCCAGACCGAGGGAGATTTTCCGTTATTTTGTATTTCTTCCATTTTCTAATAATTGCACCAACTGTTGTTGCCTTCTCACCAAGCTGCTTGCCTATTGTCCTGTAGCCCATCCCAGCCTTGTGCAGGTCTACAATTTTATCCCTGCTGTCCTTACACAGCTCTCTGGTCTTGGGCATTGTGGAGATGCTGGAGTCTGATTGATTGAGTGTGTGGACAGGTGTCTTTTATACAGGTCACGAGTCCAAACAGGTGCAGTTAATACAGGTAATGAGTGGAGAACAGGAGGGCTTCTTAAAGAAGAACTAACATGTCTGTGAGAGCCAAAATTCTTACTGGTTGATAGATGATCAAATACTTATTTCACACAATAAAATGGAAATTAATTATTTAAAAATCATACATTGTATTTTTGTTTTAGATTCCATCACTCACAGTTGAAGAGTACCTATGATAAAAATTACAGTCATCTACAAGCTTTGCAAGTGGGAAAACCTGAAAAATCAACAGTGTATCAAATACTTGTTCTCCCAACTGTATATATATATATATATATATACTCACACACACATATATATTTGGATAACATAACTTGTTTAAAAGCTGTTAACTATTATGAGTTGAATTTTGCACTTACTAGCTAGCAGCAGGCAGGAGAGGGCAATGACGTAGAGCTGTTTGACAGCAACATCATAGTGGTCCATGAACAAGTCCAGCAGGTAAACAGCCAGGTGACGTGCTGTGGGGCACAGCTGGTAGCGATTACTCAGGATGGCCAACAAATCTGCAAAGTACCGCCGCATACCAATCTGTGGGGAGTGGGCCCGGTACACCGGCAGCTTCAGCTCCTGGACGGAGAAGAGAAACGTGGGGAGGGGGTTTAAATGACAGGAGGTGAGAGAAGCAGGGTGGGCAGGAAGCAGTGAAGAAAACTGTGTGTGTGGGGGGGGGGTTTAAAGAATATGCATAATAATAACGTCTCCAGCTGATTGAGTTTAACTCCTGTCAGGTGAGCTGATGTGAAGTAGAAATCAAAACAAGAGAGAGCCTCCAGTTAATACGGAAAGAGGTTTATTGTGCAATTCAAGCTGGTTTCAGTTTTATAGAATCCAGTGCAACAGAGAACTGGAGCTAATTTGGGTCATTGCAGGGGTCCATGAACAATGCGGGTGAGGGTTTTGTAGTTTTGGAAGTGGAGGGGTGGGGGTCTTGCTTCAGTCGGGTTCAGCAGCAGATAGGATTAGGTTTCACCCCTAACACATCTCCTATTCATGTTCAATTAGCTGCATGTGTTTCAAAAAGGTAAGACGACACTCAGGGGCATTAACATAAGAGAAGACTGGAACATCAAGTCCGCTTCAAAACCATACAGGAGAGCAGAGTTCTGGTTTCAGTGTAGGAGCAAAATGCATTTAGAACGATATGTGCAAATTTATAGCGTAGCAATTTTCTGTTTTTATATCACATTATCATTGGAAAAATAGTTTTGCTCTCTGCATGGTTAAGTTAAAAACAAGATCATTGAGATTTTATTAAGAATATGAAGATTAGTACATTAACCTTCTAAGAGTTGTGAAAGGTTTTTCAAATAAAGTAGAAATACAAAAAATAAAAATTAAAAACTGACCTCATGACTATTGAGGAATAGCCCAGAAATGTGCTTGTCACAAATGATCATAATCTATCTGCAATGTATTGTCATAAATAAAGTAAGTAAACTTTATTCATATAGCACTTCTCATAGATAAAATCACAAAGTGCTTTACAAAAATACAGGCTTAAAATAAAACAAGAACAGCAGCTGATAAAAACAGAAAATGGAACATTTAACTAAAACCTTGTCTGAATAAAAATGTCAAACTGCTTTTTAAAGGAATCGAGGGAGACGGCCACACGAAGAAACTGGGGCAGGACATTCCACAGCCTGGGGGCCATGGCCTGAAACGATAGATCACCCCAAGTTTTATACCGGGTCTGTGGGACCTTTAGGAGGTTCAACGCTAAAGACCGAAGGGTGCAGGCTGGAGAATAAGGGATCAATATTTCCGTGATGTATTGGGGGGCCTTCAGAACATCAGAAGTTGTGCTTCCAGACACCTGACAACTTGTGGTTTTCTTTAAATTAAACAATTAAGGAATATACAGGTATATCTAAAAAGAAAATTAGAATATCGTTAAAAAGTTCAACAATTCTGGGCGATATTTATCTACGATTCGTCTGTGCATAATGTGTATGAGTTTCCAATATGGGACTTTATCACAATATTCCAATTTTCTGAGACACTGAGTTTTGTTTTATTCATTATTTGTAAGCTATAATCATTAAAATTACAAGAAATAAAGGCTTGAAATATTTCACTCCATGTGTAATGAATCTATACGAGTTTCAACTGGTGAAGTGAGTGACCAAAAACATTGAACTTTTTCACGATATATTTTTTTTTTTAGATGTACCTGTAACTATTGTCTGGGGAAAAATACAAATAAAAAAGGTCAAAGAACACAACTGACAGATTATTCTATTAAGAAAATGGATGTTGGTTGCAGTCCAACTACATTTCAAGATAAGCTCCCAGAAAAACATGTTTACAGTCAATACAGTTTGCTGCGAGGGCAAAACACGGTTAGGGTTACACAAACTCAAGAACATATTTTGAGCACAACTAAAAACAACAGAGATGCTCAGACCGATGCTTCAATGGAATCCAAAAATAAACAGAACCCTCCCCTCCCGCATTAATGTAGAGCAGCAGCCCCACCCCCAGTGCTCCTACCTCCCATATCACCCAAAAACCTCTCCTCTCCTCCCACTGCCTCTGGTCCATCTGTCTGTGTAGAGGTGCAAGGGCAGCAGAGGGAAGGGGGTGAGGGGTTGAAGAGAGGAGGTTGCAATGTGTAGAGGGCTCCAGGGTGATGGTGTTGGTTGAGGGTGTGTGTGTGTGTGGGGGGGGGGGGGGGGTGCCTTTGTGGGGGAGTCGCACCATAATTAAGGATTCCACAGCTGCCTACTGATTTGCATGTCTGATAATTTGCCACATGCTATGCACCAACCACCGCTATCTCCCACATCAGGGCATTATCACCACAGCAAACGTCATTAAGGCTGGATGAGACGGTGGGGGGGATGAGGGGTGCAGGCGCCACACAGGAGATCTGAACACCGTGTGAAGCTCTGATAATGACTTCACTAGTCTTATCCACAACAGATTTGTTCCATTTTGAACTTAAAGGTTCCAGACAACATTCAACAATCTCCACTCATCAGGATTTCAAAAACATCAAGTCTTGTTGATAAGACTTTAAAAATGACTGTGTGTTGAATTGTGGGGGGAGATTCATTAAAAACAACATGAGTTCAAGCTAAAGAGATTGAAATTCTACAGTAAAATGTCCTTTTTTTGGGGTTTTTTTTTTGGCTGCTTGTTTCTTCAGGGGCATCAACGAGCGAACCCACATGATAGATTAGCCAACTGTTTTATGCCAGGTGCCCTTCCTGACGCAACGTAGACTTGAACTCGCAACCTCAGGATTCATTCAACCTTTATTTATACAGTTTAGACTCACTGAGTCACGAGGACTCATTTACAAGAGACCTGTTTGGATGATAACACCATGGCACTGGCCACCAAGTTAAAATAAAATTCAAAAGCAATCATTAAAAAACAAACTATTTCTTTCTTATTAAAAAAATACTTTTAACTGAAAGCAATTTAAGGATCATTTGTCGCATCGCTTTGTTCTTGCAGTGAACAAAGAAAACAAAGTCTGCGCCATTTTCAGTCCGTCTAAATCCTATTTGATGACTTTGCTACAATTATCACAATTCCCTGAAAAATCTGATTTATAATTTACAGTGTCCCTTTTAAACACAACAATCTGATTTTTTTTTTTTTTAACAAAGTTTTTTTTTTTAAATTGTGATGAAAATTGCCGTACAAAAAAAACCTTACTTTTTTCATTACCGTATTTTCCAGCCTATAAGTCGCATAGGAGTATAAGTTTTATCAGTCCAGAAAATGTCTAATAAAGTGGAAAAATCCATAGATACGTCGCTTCACCATGTAAGTCACATCTATTATGCGTCACCGCTGACACATCGTGTTTGTTACACGTCACCACTGACAACCCGGAAATGTGGGCCTGTGTTGTACCAAAAATCGATTGGCTGCCAATGGCGGCCGCAGGAGCGTGCACGGGAGGACTTTAACAAAATTAACACTTAAAATACAATTATTTGTTTGCTCGAAATTATAGCAAAGGTGTGTTTCAGTCTAAGGTTTACTTAATAAATGCACTTTGACGGTCAAATCAGCTGCATTTCAAAAGCTGACACGCGGAAGCAGGAGTGCGCAGAGGGACGACTCGCTGTGCATTTTTTCGAAATTTAACAAGATAAGCACCTAAAACAATTATAAATAAAGGTTGAATGAATTATTTGTTTGCTCATAATTATAGTAAAGGTGTGTCTCAGTTGAACTTTTACTTAATAAATGCACTTCATTGGTCAAATTAGCTGCATTTCGCTGGGGTGGCGCAGCGAAATGAAGCTGATTTGACTGTTGCTCCAGGCAAGCTGGACAAAGGTGGCAGGCTATGGAAAGACGATTGTGTCATTAATAGCCACTTTTACCTATTACATGACACAATGACATGCCATACTACTTGAGTGCCATCTAGCAGCTGAAAATGTTAGTGTTCAATATTTTCAATGTCAGAATCAATGAAAATGTTTATATCTCAGTCAAAAATTGGGTTATAAATGTGGAAAAAAAAATCTATAAATAAGTCGTTTTGGTGTATAAGTCGCAGGATATGCAAATTAGGAAAAAAGGTGCGACTTATAGGCTGGAAAATATGGTAAATGTACCACATAAAAAAAATTAACAAGAGCTCTATAACACCAGTTCAACTAGTTTTTTAGACCATCTTTGTTTTCTTTCGACTGCCCTCGTCTGCAGGAGTTGCCACAGCGAGCAAACTTGTGCAAAAGATTTGGCAACCATATGCCCTTCATGGCAACCTGGCCTCGAACCTGCAGCCTCTGGGATTACAAGACCATGGCACTGACCACCAAGTTACCACAGCTCAAGGTTTTTACATCCAGTAGAGCTGCAAAACACCTGTCATCACAATTACAGGATCACTGCATAAAATAAAAATGTGTGGCAATGCACACAAAAAAAAAGTCCTCTCTTTTGACTCTTTCTGCATCTTAATGGCTCTCAGGTCACACTATGAAAATGTAATCAAAATTAGAAAAAGCCCCAAATGAAGTGGCCAATAAGATAACAAGGGCCGGTTTCACACAAAGATGCTCCACTGTTAAATCATCACCGTCTTAGTGTCCCTTTAATTTAATGTTTCATATAATCATCGGTTTACAACAGTTACTGTACAATACTGCAGAGCAAAATGTAGTTAAGACTGCTTACATCAGGACTGACAGGAACTCCTCTCAAAGTATATGAGAAAGTGTGGGCGTGCTAGTTTCCAGCTCAGGTTATACGGTAGTTGTCATTGACACTTTGCTCTGAGTCAGATCATCTCCATCATGAGAAAACTGAATAAAACGGCCTCTCAAAGTGACTCAGGCCTGATTTACGATCAGACGCCCCAATCCTATAGAGACACCTGATATTCACATCCTCATCTGTCTTCATCGCCTTCGGGATGTAGATTACACACGTGAGGCCCAGCTTGAAAACGCCAGTCAAGTCACAGACGCTTCCATTAAAGTGACACATGGGAAGAAATATGAGCCCACACTGAGGTTAATTAAGACATTTCTAATTAATGAGTGTCAACTCCCCCACATGATTACATTTAAATTAGCTTTAAAGACACAACAAAGTAACTTAATAAAACGAAATTCTACAATTTGACATTGGCAGCAAAATGAGAACAAGGATTTAAATACAGCTGATCCAAACAAAAAGACTTTTATTCCTCATTGTGATTTTGTTTCAGTTTTGTTTGAAATCCTTGCTGTTTTGACGAGTAATTATTAATTTGAAGTTTTGAAATCTGATGTGATGACAGGTAAAACAAGGCAAAGAGCCAACAGGTAAACGTTGTTGTCGTTTTTAAATGCTGTCAAAACAAGGCTGACTCACACATGACAAACACAGCTTCCTGATGCAATTCTGATTTTTCAGGTTAAACTCACCTTAATGCGCAGGGACTGATGGATATCTGAAGCTAGCTGTCCTTTCCACCACTGTAGCTCCCTCTCCATCTTTCCCATTCAGAAGAGGATTGCAGAATCAAGTTTTACCTGCTGAGACGGGTGTTTCCAAAACGAAGCAGAGATCAGACACTGAACTGGACTGAGGGTGCAGATAACTAAGAGCAGAGTGATGAAATGACAAAAACAACAATATCCTCTTCTTGTGTTAACAGTGCTAGCTGCATTTTTAGGTGGAGTTTAAATAAACTCACGGGTGGCTAACGTAGAGCTGTTTCAGTTATTCTTTAAATTAAAAAAACAGTTTTAATAAAAAAAAAATAAAAAAAAACAGATTTGCTAGCATAGGCCATCTTCTCTGCCCGGGAATTTAAATGGCTCTGTTAAATACCCACTCGACCACGCGGTAGGTCAAACTACTACAACAGCCTCCCTCTTCTTTATCGGTGTTAACTTCCCACGCGGTTTTTCAGTAAAACTTTTTTTTTTTTTTTTTTTCCATAAACGCCGCATAGATGAGGCGTTCAAAGACGTTTCCGAGCCGCGCGAGACAGCGGCCAAGCAGTGAGGCGACACAAGTTAACTGGCCACCGAGCTCTGAACATTAGCCCAGTTTCAACGTTTCAGAAAACAACCCCGCTCTGACACAAAAACTGACACTTCGACGCGAATTCAGCCCAGCTTTCCAGCCGACCGAGAACCCGGTGAACTTTTCATCTTCCATGTGCCACTCACCCACAGCTCCGTCGGGAATGCCCCCCACCCCCAGACCCCTTTGTCTCAGTCCGACATCCTGAATGAAAGCACTCCTCTTCGGCTCAACTTTTAAAGAGGACCTCTAAGATGCTGGGAAGGAAAACTTCAAATCCGCAGGCGAGACCATCAAGCAGCCGCCGCCGACAAAATCCCCCCGACAGATACTCGGTTCCGCCGTTTAACCCGAACTGTTCGCACTTTTTTCCCCGGCAGAATCCGCTCTGCCGTTTCTCTCCGGCGGCTTCGCTGTAACAAAGTAGCCTGCTCGGCTGCGCCAGCTGCTGCGGCTGAGCTGAGAGGCTCGTGCGCGAGACGTTAGGTCCTTCCGTTGTTCTGGGAGTTGTAGTTTTCATGGGTCCGTGTGAAAACTACAAACAGCAACGGCTCAAGGAGGACAGTTTATGGTGCACCTTTTAGTTTTATTTATGTAAAACCAAGTATATTACATTACGTTTTAGAACTTTCAAATATGTATACATCGGCAGTATTCTTAAACTAAAACAACCCTTGTGAAATGATAGATAACCGCTTTCATTTTTATGTTTTTGCAAAACTGGATTTTGTTACTTTATGTTTCTTATTTTTGTATATACTGGTGCATCTAAAAAAGAAAAAATAATATCGTGACAAGTTCAGTTTTTGTCAAATCATTTCAGAAAGTGAAACTCATATATTCACTGTATAGAGTGGAATATTTCCATCCTTCATTTCTTGTAATTTTGACGAATATGTTTTACAAATAATGAAAACTAAAATTCTGTGTCTCAGAAAATTTGATTATTGTGAAGAAAACTCCTGGTGTAACACCCTAACTCCAGGACATGAGCTACAAATGTCTCATTCCTCAAGTTGAGCCACTCCTGAACCAGAGACAACATCAGAAGTGTCTTACCTGCTGAGGACCAAAAGAACTGGACTGTTGCTCAGTGGTCCAATGTCCTCTTTTCAGATGAAAGTCAGCTTTCATGTCATTTAGAAATAAAGGTCCCAGAGTCTGGAGGAAGAGTGGAGAGGTTCATAATCCACATTACTTGAAGTCCAGAGTGAAGTTTCCACAGTCAGTGATGGTTTGGGTCCATGTCCTCTGCTGGTGTTGGTCCACTGTGTTTCTGAAGTCCAGTCCATTCAACATCTACCAGGACATTTTAGAGACTTCATGCTTCCTTCTGATGATGAGATTTATGGAGATACTGGTTTCAGGACTTGGCTCCTGCCCACACTGACAAAGGAACCAAAAGCTGGCTGTGGAATATTATAACTTTCTGAGACACCGAGTTTAGTTTTTCATTATCTGTAAGACATAATCATCACAATTGCAAGAAATAAAGACTTAAATTTTTTTTTTGACTCCTTGTCATTTTTCAGCAGCATTTAAGAAATATAATAAAATAAAAAACTCAGTTGAAGTGCCATTGACAACAATCTTAAAATGATGTTCAGATATAACTTTAGTTTATTTCATTTCAGTATTTTGATTTTTTTATTTTATTTTAAGGCCAACTAGTGGTGCAAGACAACGCTCTTGTAGACAATATATATTTTACAACGTGTGCCTGTGTTTGTCCTATCGCCTCCTTAACTCTTTGACATTTAACTAAACAAAATGCAGGTTATTATAAACTCAGAGCCTGTTTTACTTCTGAAATACTTCTTGACAAAAATATTGTGGCAGTTCTGTCAAGAAAACATAAAATGAGCATTGATTAAAAAAAATTAGTGGGAAAAAAAAACTTTACACTGAAGGTTTTTAAAAATGCATGTTTACATTTACTTCATACTTGTGACTCAATTTTCTAATTTGGAGTAAATTTGCATCATCTTAAAATTATTAACAATGATGTAACAATAATCCAGTATTACAATGAATTTAAATCTAATTCTTAAAAAGACAGGCATTTTGCTGTCTTTTGTATCAAAGTTTTATTTTTTTTTAAAGGGTAATTTTTGGAACAACCTTTTCAGTCAAAGTAGATTTATTTTTTTAAACTGAGCTAATAAACTTTGTGCCTTTGTTTGTTTTGTTTGTACTTGTGCGCCCCCTGGTGGCCAAGTGTCTCCACCAGCTGCGGTTTGTGATCTGTCATTCTGATGTGAAATAAAGTCATTTAAAACAAGATATTTCAGGAATACGGCACTAACTCTCAGTCTGGCTGTTTGCTTTTAGGTCTGCCTCATTTAGAAACTCCTGGTCAGCGTAAATGAGAAAGCCCGTAAAGGTGCTGTCTGTCCAGAAGGGGTCAAAGAAAAGCCCGTTCTGCTCCGAGTAGAAGATCTGCAACCAGACCTGATCTGACTCCTTCAGGCTGAGAACAGTGGAACCAGAAGCCACGTCATGGTTCCCCGTATTGGCATCAAACGTCTTGATCTTGTACTGTCCGTTGTGCACCAGCCCAATGGCCAGGTGCTTGTTGGCCAGTGTGATGTCTTAGGTGAAGTAGTAGACCCCAGGGATCTCGCAGACAAACTTCCCACTGCTGGTGTTGTAGTGGTCCCCCTCGTTCAGCAGGATCCGGCTGAAGCGGATGGGCGTCCTCTCCTTGGGGTAACTTTGTGTCACAGCCACAGAGAAGGCTGATCAAGCTGCTCTGCCACAGCTGCAGCCGCCAGGGGGTCCTCGCTGGCCCTCGTCACCCACTTCTCCTTTTTGTCCCTGTTTTCCAGCCACTCCTGGTGGTCCACGCAGCCCCTTCAGTCCTCGAGGTCCTGCCTTTCCGATGACACCCTCGCGGCCTTTTACTCCAGGTTTGCCTGCGTTCCCCGTTCTCCCTGAATCACCTGATGAAGCACAGGAAATATCAGTGTCTACACACCACTCAAAAGCTCAAGCTATTCTATTTTTGCTTGTTTCAGCACACTTCCTCTTATAAATCTTAATAATTAAACCAGTATTTGGGTTTGGGGCCCAGTGGACCACAATTAGGACCTCCACAGTCATTTGAGACCAACTACTGGGCCCCAAATCCATTGTCTGCAGGGTCCTTTTGGCTCCATGTGTTATTATTATTAACCCAGTGTTGTTGGTTTTGTTGTTGGTTTTGTTGTCGGCTGCGGCGGCGTTGTTGTTGTTGTTGTTTTTTTAGCAATGGGCAGCCGCACAGTTCTTTAGACAATTGACTGAAGAGGACAAAACTAAATCTGCAACATTGTTAAAAATAACTCTGAAAATGAATTGTGGAACATTGAGCAAAAACAATTTAGGAGAAAACAGTGAGCATTTGATTAGTTAAAGCTTCAACCCTGAAACGGTTAGAATCATAAAGCCCTAACCAGAAAAATCACTGTAATGCCACTTTAATGGGTGATATGTCACTTTATCTGTGCTGCTGATTATCCATGCTGCTGATCTCTTGCCTTTAAGCTATTTCACACTGGACCTCAAGCAGTACGGGTTCTGTTCCTCACCCTTCTTCCTCCAAACCCTTGGACCTTGATTTCTGAATGAAAGGCACACTTTACTTTCATTGGACAAAAGGACAGAGGAACCCAACAGTTGTAGTCCATCTCCCAGATGTGTCTGAATGTGGTGGTTTTTGAAGCTGTGACTCTCGCCTCATTCCATTCTTTCTGGATCTCTGCCAGATTATGGAATCTTCTCTGCTTGATGATCTGCTGAAGCCCACGGTCATCTCTTCTGCTGGTGCATCTTCTCCTGCCACATTTTGCCCTTCCACTAGACTTTCCATTGATATGCTTGGACACAGCACTCTGTGAACAGCCAGCCTCCTTAGCTATGAACTTTGTGGCTTACCCATCCTATGGAGGGAATCAATGATGGTCTTCTGGCCAGTTACGTCTGCAGTCTTCCCCATATTGAACCAAACTGATTCAATTGAACCAAACTGAAGCAATTTAATGACACATGGGGAAACCTGTGCAGGTGCTTTGAGTTTAGTAGATGATTAGTGTTTCACACTCAGTTTAAAACATTCATGCCCTGCAAAATTAGGGCTGATTTCTCCACATTATTTTAATTTTTTGAAATCCTGTTTTCATGGGTTTCATGAGCTGGAAGCCCAAATTATGTAAAAATAAACAAATAAATACTTGAAATCGTTTAAATTGTGGGCCCTGAATCTATCATCTATTAAAGATGAACTTTTTGAATGAAATTATGGAAGTTAAACAACTTTTCCATGATATTCTAATTTTTGAAAAGGGTCTGGGTATATATATATATGTGTGTGTGTGTGTGTGTGTGTGTGTGTGCGTGTGTGCATGCGTGCGTGCGTGCGTGTGTGTGTGTGTATTTACCATATCGTATGTAGGTATGTATGTGTTGAGGATGGCCCTCAGCTACTACTACACCAGATTTTTGCTCAATATCTCAAATATTATTTGAAATCAAATAATATTTCTCCAAGTTTTATTAAATGCAACCTGTGGTTCATAAGATATTTTGCTAACAAACAGACAGAGTTAAGTTAATGTAAAAGTTTTAAAACAAATCTTGTGTGATTCATTAGCGCTCAGAATATGTTGTATTGTAGCTGATTCTTTGTAAAATCAGCTGTTATAGCCATGTCTGTGTTGGGTCAGCTGGCTGTGGCAGCCATCTTGAACTGCCCTTTCACCTTCGGTGGCGGGCGATAACTATTAGTCTGTTTGTGAGCTGTTCAAGATAACACAGTCCCAAACAGATCAGTTATTTACAGTAACTACCTCTTTCTCCCTTTTCTCCTTTGTCTCCATCTTTTCCATCTGGAACATCCAGCCCCAGTGGCCCCATCGGGCCCATGGACCCTGGTGCTCCAGGGGCACCCGGGTTTCCTGGCGGGCCTGCTGGGCCCGGCAGACTGCAAACGAGCTGGGAGGAATGTACGGTGAAGTTACGAGCCCTTTTTGATTCAGAGTTAGACGACTGGGAGGCGACAGCTGGGAGCAGACAGATCATCACCCACATCTGGAACACACTGGGTCCTGCAGAGAAGCATGATGGTAAAGAGAAGCTGTTAATCTTAAATAAGATTTGGGTATGCATGTTACTCAGAATCAGATAATTAAAGGTAGCATTCACTGAAGGAATGCATATCACCCACTGCCTTTCATGCCAGACTTTAATTCTTGTGTTGAGACTTGGTGGAGTTGGAGAAAATGTTCTGAGCAGTCTGATATCACCAGATGGTCACATTAACGTTTGTGTTGTGAATGACTCACAGCTTCACCAGATTTTAGCCTTGTATCTGTTAAACTGACTGAGTTCTAGTCATTTCGTCTCCTGTCGCAGAATGAAAAGGGGGGATTAGAAATGAAAGAAAGGTCACTATGGAAAATTGGGTTCCCCTGTCAAAATCCAAGATGGCCGTCATTACATATACATATGTAAACCTTATTGTGAGCATGATAATGTGAAAAAAATAAGCAATGGGACAACTTCCTTTTTAGCGGGTGGCTGCATCTAGGCAAAAGAAAGATCCTTTCTTCTGGATATTCTTCTAGATCCAGTAGTCTGCGATAAGTGGAAAACTGCGAAGTAGGAATGTTTTATTTACTCACACTCTTGCAATGTTCTCAACAATGTTCTAAACTCTAAAGGCTCTAAAAGAGCACAGCATGTCATGGTCTCCGCTCTCTGCCATGCACAATCACACTCATGCTCATCACCTGCGTCACTCCCAGTCTCCCTCCTGCTGCACAAGTACACTACACTCCCGGGTCTCTGCCTCCCTACCAGACTGTCTGATCGCCTTGTGCCTGAAGTGTCCAGCATTCTTGATCCTGCACTCGTTCCTAAAGGCTTGAGTCGTGCTTGATTATTGTAAATAAGCAATCCATGCCACTTGTGCAGCTCACTCAGGTATAAGGCAGACACCCTCGCCCCCTCCTTTCTTTTTCCGAGGCTTGTGCACTCACCTGTTGTGTGTCTCTGGGACATGATGGTGAAAGACAGACCCCGCCCCCTCCTTTCTCTTTCTCTGCTGTGACAGACAGCCTTGGAAAGATAAAGGAGGGGGAGGGGTCTGTCTTATAGCTGAGTGAGCCGCACTCAGCCACTTTCTCTTTTTAAACTGATCCACTCTTATTTTTCCTCCTAAGCATTTTCTCTGATATTTGTTAATCTGATCTGTTCATCCCTGCTGCCTGAGCAGTAGCTAAGGGGAAAGACAGACCCTACTCCCCTGCCCCTCCTTTCTCTTTCTGAGGCTGTCACAGCAGAGCAGACACGCAAGCTGCTGCTCTGCAGTGACAGCCTCAGAAAGAGAAAGGAGGGGGCAGGGGGTTAGGGTCCGTTTTCCCCCATCACCAATCGTGTGTCGTGTACAATCTTATGTTGAGAAACTGCGATAGAGCGAGTTTGCGAAAGATGAACCGCAAAGTAACGAGGGACTACTGCCTTTGTAAACTGGCCACTTCCATCATTTGAGGAAACTATAGCTTTCTTTTTTTTATATTGCTTAAAAATATAGTTTCCTCAAATGATTGGGGTGATCGAAGGGTGGCCGAAGACTACTCTCTGGTGGCCAAGACCACCATTGGCCACCTCCTGGCTCCGCCCTTGTGCCTTGTAGTGCATAAAATGTCTCCCTCTGCTCACCAGGATCCGTCACTCTGTGTCGCCTCAGACAAGAAACATACCTCTCCTGTTATACACAGTGTAACTCTTACCCAAATGAATATGTTGCACTATAAAACATTAAGGTTTATTTTCATTACCTGTTCAGTTCCAGTCCAGAAAAACGCTTGTCTCAAAAACTACAAAAACTTCAAAAACATTCACTTTTCAGTTCCTTCAGGGAGGAGAGATATTGGCGTCTGGCTTGTTATATTGCAAATGTTAGTTAGCAGCATGATGGATTAGAGCGGTGGTGTCAAAAGTGTGGCCCAAGGGCCATTTACGTCCCTTTGAATGATTTTGTGTGGTGCGTGAATGCAGTTATATTTTGGCCCTTGGGCTTAAGAAATTGGTGATATTCATATGAAGAGTGATACTTTTGTAATTGTTTTAAGTTTTAACACAAAATCTAAATAAGTACATTTTTTGTTGTCATTTAACCACACTTCTTCATTTTCAGTTTCATGGTGAAAAGGACCACAAATGTTTACAGACTATGAGAAAATTTGACGTTGTTAATGGAATGAAAATAATTTACATAGATTTTGATCACTGCCAGCTACACCTTTGCTCTGCGTTTGGAGCAGGACATTCAGGTCCCTGGAGATTTTTGAAAAAACTCTTGTCAGGTGGAATTTGAACTGCAAAGCAACATTTTTACTTCAGGGGTCCACCACCAGGACACATGACCACTTTTAGGGACAAAGAAAGAAAAGTATAGGCATATTACACTTTTATTCTCTGGAATAGACTTAAATGAACAAACAGGGGGGGAACTAGTAATAAACCAAATTCTGCTTTGTTCATGGTAAATGATTGTGAGGGTTTTTTATTTTATTTTAAAACTAATTTTTAACCAAAATAATTATAATTTTTTCCTTCCACTAAAACGTGCATTTGAAAAAAAAAAATTGTGCTAAAATTCTATTTTAGATGGCTTCACAGGTACTTTCATTTAACAAGATGTTCTCCCGATGTTTGTGTGGGTTTTCTTTTTGTACCTGTGATCTGTGGCAGCCATCATGAATCAGTTGAAGATGTTCACCCAGTAATTACTTTCTGCGAGTTTCAACAAAATCTACACAGTGCTTCATGAGATATTCTGCAAACAGACTAGAGCTGGCTCCAAATACTTAATGGCAAAATTTTAAACAAAGATCTTGTGCAATAGGGCAGCACGGTGGCGCAACTGGTAGAGCTGCTGCCTCTCAGCGAACAGGTCCCTGGTTCAACCCCCGGTCCAGGGGCCTTCTGGGTGGAGTTTGCATGTTCTCTCCGTGCATGCGTGGGTTTTCTCCGGGTGCTCCAGTTTCCTCCCACAGACCAAAAACATGCATGTTAGGCTGATTGGTAACTCTAAATTGTCCCTAGGTGTGAGTGAGAGAGTGAATAGTTGTTTGTCTCGTTTGTCTCTATGTGGCCCTGTGATGGACTTGCGACCCGTCCAGGGTGTACCCCGCCCCTCGCACAGTGATTGCTGGACATGGGCACCAGCGACCCCCGTGACCCAAAATGGAATAAATGGGTAAAGATAATGGATGGATGGATGGATCTTGTGCAATCTGTTAGCCCTCAAAATATGTATTGGAGACCAGTCAGCTACGACCTCACCAAATTTTAGCTCAATATCTGTCAGATTTGCCAAGTTCTTGCTTAAAAAAAAAAAAAAAAATCAGTTGGCTGCTGCAGTCATTGAGTCAAGTCGACTCCAAGTTATAGTCAGTGATCATTTTCTGCAAGCTTCCTTAAACTGTTTATTTAGTTCAAAGATATTTTGCTAACAGACAGTAACACACGGGCAAATTGATATTATCTGACTTCAGGCAGTGGGTGATGTCCAAAAAAAAAAAACTTCAAGGTTTTTCAAGAGACGTTCAGAAAATAGACACAAAGTTTATGTATGTGTGCTTGCAGCTGGAATATGATGAAAAGCAAACATTTATCTAAACAGCGTGGCTTTTTTTCCTTATTGATTTCTGTGAAACATCACCTGAAGTCCTCCACTTACAGTATGTTGAACAACGGCTTTAAAAAAACACAAAAGAAACAACTCACCCGCAGAAATCTCATGGCCCCGGGACATGTTTCAGCTCTGCCGGCAGCCTTGTCCTGCACGAAGGCGCTGTAGCTTCCCTGCAGGAGTTTTCAGTGATCGACCGATCCAACATTCTTCAAGAGATCTGCTCAGCCCAGAGGATCCCAGTCCTAAACATCCGCCCTGTTTATACGACTGCTGGGCCCAGAAAATACCTTCAGCGTGATGTCATTACATTCATCATCCCACAGCTGGAGCAGCCTCACAACAGCTGCTCACAAACCCTTAGAGAGAAAAATGGATGTTACATAAGAGAAGAATTAGGGGAAGAAATAAACCAACCTAGAAACATGGACTGCAGCTGTGTGGAAAAAAATGTCACGTTTATGGTTGCTGTTGTCTCACAGGTGGTGGCAGGTTATTGGGTAATGATGTACCGGCCAAAACCCTTAACCTTCATCAAGGGTTATTGGAGAAGTTATGAATGTTTTTTATTGTGATTTGTTATTATGGCTGTGTCACAGTGTTTCAGTTGGTAGAGCTGTTACCTCACTGCAAAAATGCTGCAGGTTCAAATCCCGGCTGGAAAACTTTCTGGGTGGAGTTTGCATGTTCTCTCCGTGCATGCGTGGGTTTTCTCCGGGTACTCTGGTTTCCTCCCAGACCAAAAACATGCATGTTAGAATGATTGGTAGCTCTAAATTGTCTCTAGGTGTGAGTGAGAGCGTGAATGGTTGTCTTGTCTCCATGGACTGGAGACCTGTCCAGGGTGTCTGTCCCCCGTCTCCCAGTGACTGCTGGACATGGGCACCAGTGACCCAAAAAGGAAGAAGTGGGTAAAGTTAATGGATGAATGGACCAAAACACCTACACATCCACCATTTCTGAACAAGATGATTTTGTATGAAAGGCGGCAGGTGATATGCATTCTTTCAAAGAACTAGGTTTATTGTTTTTACTCTAAATAAATGTAGTAATAAAAATACTGCAGCTAGTTTTAGTTTATTCAACGCACAAAAATGTGATGATACAGTAAGAAAATTCTTACCATCAATCACACATTTCAAATTTGAGTCTAACTTTGTGCATTTTAAAAACATTTCTTTCAAACTAGGTGCAAATTGTCCCAAACTATTAAAAACAAATAAAAAAAACTGAATGTGTTACCTTGGGTGAGCAGATTCTCATTTGCACAATTTCATTCATTTACCATGAATTTGCATTTATGTGAAATTGAGAGGGGAAAAAAGTAGAATATATGCAATGTAATAAATTTAATCAAATAAGAGTTTATTATAAAAATGCATCTCTGTAGAAGCCATAGAACAGATTCTGCAAAGGACAAGTCTGAGAAAACAAACAAACAAAAAAAAGTACATTTCTCTGCAGAATCTGTAAGAAGTAACCGGTTTGTAAATACATTTTAGCCACTGTACAGGATTTTCTCTCAACATTTGTGAAGTTAGTTTATTTTAAATTCCTGTTGTATTTCTGGAACAGTCTTTTTGGAAAGTTTAAAGGAATCAGCAGGGATGAATACGAGGTCACTGCCCGAGGAAGGAAGCCATGGGATCATCTGGCCGGTAGCGTTTCATGCGAAAGGCCTCCAGCTCCTCTTCGGTTGGAGCTTTCACCTCCTTCAGGCTGTGGTACGGCCTCTTCCTCTCATCCAGCTGCATCATCGCTTCTACTTGTTTCACTCGCTTGTCCTCGGCTTCGAGAGCCTGGGTGGATTAAGAGAAGCGGGGGTGTTTAGCCACACAGACATTGAGCTTTTCACCATTTACAAACTACAAGAAAAAAAAGGTTCTCACCTTTTTCAGCTTCTCCTTCTTCTTATCTTCATCCTCCGAGTCGCTGCTCTCTGAGCTGTGCTTTTTGTTCTTTTTGTTCTTCTTTTTCTTCTTCTTGTCCTTCATCTTTTCTTGATGCATCTGGTGATTAAAAAAAAAAAAAAAAAGTGAAGAACTTATAATCTGATCTATGCTTCTAACCACGATCCAATGAGCTCATTTAAGTCAGCTGGTAATATTTGACACATTTTTCTTCAGCTCAGCGTCTCTTACTTCCAACAAAGTCTTCGGTTCTTCTTCCATCTGCGTCTCCGTTAGTCCCTCTTCAAACGGAGCGCAGTCTGAATTGTCCTGAAGGTTGTTTAAAGACAAAAACAACCAACGGTTACAGTGAAAAATGAATTTCTGTGTACCAAACATAGAATTTAAAAGACCTCCAGGATTAATACTTACTATGTGAATCCCTGTTTCACCTGTGCAGTAACTCTGTTTGACCATTGAGTGACAACACTTGAACCCCCAGAAGCCATCCTTCCAGTACGAGCCCCAAATACACTACAAGGTTGAAATATAACAAAATATATATTTAAAAAGTGTAGCAAATATAGCAGCGCTCTATGAGGAGTCATTTCTCTGCTGTGCTCACGGTGTGGTTGTTTAGAAGCACGTCCTCCTCGTATTTGGAGCGAGCGACGGCCTTCTCCTGTCCTTTCAGAACGGCGCCGTGACGGGAGTACTCCACGTAGTCCTCCGTCTGCGCCAACAGCAGCTCCCGCGCTGGAGCGTCCAAGTGCTCCTCACCCCCGTACTGATGTCACAAACACAAGCAGACACCGTCCATATGAGTATGAGAAGTAATTAATGTGTCTCAGGTCAGAGTTGATACTTATGACTGAAATCTAAATTTAGAATACGGAAAATGATTTAAAAAAAGATCACATCCTCAGCTTTTGTCCTCCAAAAAAAATAAAAAAAAAACTAGCTGAAATGAAGGATGAGAAAACGCAAACTATTTAGGAATGCACATACTGGATTTTTTGGCTGATATCCGATATGTTAAAATTTATTTGGCTGATAGCCAATACCGATATTTTTCCCCTTAGACCTACTTACAAAGACTACATAGCTTTCTTTGCTGTGGAATTAAAATACTACACTATTCTTCATGGTCTTTGTCATTTTGGCCTACTACCAAATGCCAAAAAAGGGGCAGAAAATGATGTAACATTTTATATCGGTGAGTTATTTCAATGGAATGGCTGATGTCCGATATTTAACTTTATCGCCAATATCAGACAATACCGATACCATGCCGATAATATTGTGCATCCCTAAAACTATTAGTTATATTAATAAGCAATTTTTTTTAAATGCAAGTTGTGTACCTTCTCCAGGATGCTCTCCCTCTGTTTTTCTTTAAAGTCCTCCTTCTTGACTTTGAAGGAGCGGTGGAGCAGCTCCAGCTTGGTGGGGTCTGCCTGCAGGTGGACCTCGGAGCCCTTATCATACGCCTCCCAAGCAAACACTGTCCCAAAACAACCACAATCATACAATGAGAACCGCACTTCCTGTAACAGAGACTGTGACCTGTGAGGGATACCTTAGATTTATCATTTTCTCCATCTGATAAAACAGTTTCTTTGTGCTTCTAAAAATAAATGCATTTAGAAATCCTTTATATTTTATTGTAACGGACATATTTCTTGTGGTTCAATGCTATGATCAGTCTTGTCTGACTGTCTTATCACATCACAAATGTGCTGAGGTTACAACAATAACATTCAATTTAACAATTTCAGTAGGAATTAAGGAAGTAAAAGTTTCCAAAAGCCCTACATTAACCTCCTAAGACCTGAACTCTTGCATGTGTGGATGCCAGGTCCTGGGAGGTTAAGAAGAGCTGCTAACGTTTTGAAAACAGGAGGAACAATATCTGTGACGTACGTTGGGTTTGAGCCATGCTGATCGTGTCCCCAGAGTAGCGAACAAAGTTGTCTCCGGCGTACCCCACTCTGGCAGACAAAGAAGTTTATCAGTTGTTTCAGTGTAATCAAGTGAGAGTTGATACTTTAAGGAAATATTACCCATAACTCACTCATCAGGGTTCATGCCAGTGTTGGAGTATGGGTTCTCTCTCATAGCTCGAGTCTTTGGATCATAGTACGCTGAGTTTGGATCCAGATTTCTCAAGTACTGTGGAGGACAAATGTGTGAAGTTCAGGTTACTCACCTTTTAGCTTTTGACTTTATCACTCAACTGCTTTTACATCGGACAATAAAAGGTGAACATTAGCAAACATTGTCGACTATCTCCCTTAAGGTTCAAGCTTATTTATTGTCATTCGCATCACGCGATACATGAGATGGAACAAAATTGCGTACTCAAGGTCCCAGTTACACCCAAAAATAGCAAAAATATAAAGTATAAAATGAAAGAATATAAAAGGATCTAAGATATACCCTACACAGTAATAATGTAATATAATAGGTGTATTAAACAGCAGCCTGAACATTTTAGAGGGTAAAAACTAAAATAAGAAGGAAAAATAACACTCAATGCTGCTTACTTTAGCCGTGTCTTCTCTGATACGCAGATTTCTGACAGTGATGCGTCTCTTTGAGTCAAAGTTCTGACCGGGCATGTCGATGTCATCGGCATATTTGTCTTCATCCTCCCCTTCGCTGTCATGTTCTCGCTCCTGCACAAGACAAAAAGCAAACAATGAAGTTATGTTTCTATCTTACATAAACTTTTAAATTACTGTATTTTTCGGACAATAAGGCGCACTTAAAATCCTTTTAATTTTCTCAAAAATTGACAGTGAGCCTTATAATCCGGTGTGCCTTATGAATTTATTCTGGTTGTGCTTACTGACCTCGAACCGATTTTATGTGGTACAACTGAACGATGTTGAGAGTTACCGTGAATGAGTTTAATAAAGTTTGACTTATCTGATTGTTTTGTTTCACTTAATGCAACTTGTAGTCCGAAAAATACGGTAATTCGTTTCAATGTGTTACTGAGTACTTACTGTTTGGTCGAGTTTCCCCGAGGCCAACTCATCTTGAAGTTTGTGTGCTTTCAGTGTCCTTTTAGCCTGAGATACAAAAAAAAATAATTATGATTTTAAGTTGGCTTCACACAATAATAAATTCCTCATTGGTTTACTGAGGGCCTTATTATGGACTTGCGACCCGTCCAGGGTGTACCCCGCCCCTCGCAAAGTGATTGCTGGACATGGGCACCAGCGACCC